TTATCCATGTATATTTTCACAACCTTCCATCAGGGAATCATTAAGAACCCTAACCATCTGCTAGAACTATTACCCAAGTGCTTTTCATGGTCCAGTGTTATGGCCTTCCAGTAGGACTCAGTGTCTTCAGGCATTGATCATAGATCTGATGAAAGAGTTTTGAAACAGGAAGAACCACTCTCTGAAACAGTTATAAGCTTAATGACAGTTCACTTACAGGGTGGGAGAATATTGGTAACTGGCTAGGTCATTTGCCTGTCATGAGGGATCAGAATTATTTGTTTTCTTAGGGAAATTGCTGGGAATTTTCCAGGAGAAAGAGTTTGTGGTCCTATAATGAGAGCTCTTTAGCCTAATATCTCAGTTAGGTTGACCTTAGGTAGAAGTTAGTATGGGGGCAGCTGTGTATGGGGTGTGTCTGAGTCTTGTCTCAGGTAGATTTGCCTTAAGCTCTTTAGGACCCAGGACTCTGGATAATGTGAAAACTTTCCTTATTATTGAACTAGAAGTTGCATTCATTGTAACGCTGTCTCATTTTGAGGATAGTTCCTCAAACTAGCAAAACAGGTGAATTATCCTTCTTCCTCTTTATTTTTTATATGTCAAGTGTAAGCTTTAATGTGTTTGTACTTTTTAGAGAATAATGAAGACTTTTCATGGAAAAGGATTTAAAAATATTTACAATAAATTATTTTTGCCCTCTGCGCTATCCTATTTCCCTTTGCTTCATTGGTGGCGACTCTCCAGGGCCATGATTTGGGTTGGTGTTTTCTTGCAGTAAATGGTGTTGGAAGTGATCTTTTCATTTCCCTGAGGGCAGCTTCCCCTTCTGAGGGAGTGAGATTGAACTGGGGTGGGCTGAGTCCTCCTCTCTGTTTCAATGAGTGAAGGGTGGGTGCTTTGATCCCTTCCACTTCCTCCCAGAGCCCTCTCTGGCAGGGCCAGGTGTCTGAAGGGCCTGGGACTGGAAGGAAAGGTTAGTTCATATCTGGGATCAAGACAGGGTTGGTTTTCATCTTCCCTTCTCCTTTGGAAAGCACCAAGATGCAAATACCTTGTCCTGGGTTTTGACCACTTACGAGTCATAGAATTTTCCATAGAGTGCACTCTTTAGCCCATGTGGTGTGGAAAGACCTGAACTTTGTGATGAAAGCATTTGAAGGGTTTGGAAAAAACGGCACTTACATATACTCTACTCTGCTATCAGAGGTGGATATTGGGCATCACACATTTTAATGATGAGCATAACGCCTGGTGCATAATAAGGTTTTAACAAATACCTGTGAAATAATTGAACAATTTGAGACTGGCCTTTTGTGCAAGTCTTTTAGATATGGACCGAAAGGATACAGCCAGATCAGAGGAACCTGTCACCCCACTATTCCAACAAAAATTCTATCCACGTGTTCAATTCTTTTTTGCCTCACAATGTAACTTAGTCCTATAGATGTTTTAATAATGAGTTTTGCAGAAGACCATAGAAGACACCAGTGTAGAAGAAGACAATAATAAGGAAGGAAACTTCTGGTCTTACAGGGATTCAGGCTCTGCATAGGTGAAACAAGAAACAACGGGGGGCGGGGGGGGGCGGGGGGAGTCAGGTGTTAAAATTAAATAAAGATAAAATATAGAGCTGTGGGTGGTCCGAGGAAAGAGTATCCAGTATAGTATAATTGGAAAAATATTTGCCTGGGAAGTAGGACATAAACTGACCCTGAAGCAGTGGTGGGATTTGAATAAAGAGGTTTGCCTTTCTTTACTTAAGTTTGTGTCTTACTAGGGCCAGGTGCACAGTCTCTCCTTGCCCCATTCAAAATCTGACCAGTGCTGAGAAAAATGGGAGTTATCTCTCTAAATCTTCCTCCTCTGCTCCCATTACTGTAAATTAAGGTAATTCACACTATTGCTGCATTGCTGGCAGCTGCATGCAGACACATCCTTTAATATTTTTCTTTATGATTAGAAAAGTATCCTTTTAGTGTTAGAAGGCAGTCCCCTCTTTTTATGGTTAAGAAACTGAGGCCTGGACAGGTGGGAGGACAAGCCCAGAGCTCCCCAGTTTGGGGGAGCACAGCTCAGCCCACTAGGCAACCACACACCATCAAGGAGCATGAGTAGAGAGAGGACAGGGTTGAATTGAGAAGTGTGATCATCAGGCTGTAGAAGACTCTGGGATTATGATGATGCTCAATCCTTCCCCAAGTGCCTTGCAAAAGACCTCCTTGTGGGAAAGGGGGAGGGACTGAGAGCTGGGGCATGCTCAGATCCAGTGGCTTTCAAGTTGCTTTTTGAACGCAAGATGCTGACTTGGAAGAGAACAGAGTCACAGAAATTTAAACAGAATCTCCTATTCTCTGAAGACTTCTGTGGAGTCCTGGGGCACACCTTTTTTCATTCTGCCTATGCCCTTGCACCCCTGAGAATAGCTGTAGCCCTCGTTACCCAAGGTTGTCCTAATAATGTCCACATTTGAATTTATTTGTTGTCAACGGTCGATTTTCCTCACCTATCTTTGCCCTTTTCTTGTACCTCTCTTACGTTCTAAATAAGAATTCGTTCACTGACTCAGGGATTATTTATAGGTACTAGTATGAACGTAAAACAGAAACCACAGAGCCCACAGTAGCTGCATTAAATGTGCCTCTGTGAACTTTGGCTGTGTACAGTTGAGACCAACATGGGGGAGGGGAATTTTCTGATATATTTGTGACTTGAGGATAAAATTTAAATCCTCAGCCTCATTTTTTAAAATCAAGAACAGGAATTTTTTAACTAAGGGGTTGCATCCTCAACCCTTTACAACTGTATACAAATATTGTGTGTGTGTGCATGTTCTGTGATGAGGATATACAGCTTTCATCAGAAATCCTGAAATCCATAAAAAAGATCAGCAATATATACAGACAATGTAGGTATTTCAAAGGACTCTTCTACTCAAAAATAATTTCCTCTCATAATCCCTCAAATTTCATTATAAGAACAACTTTCTTTGGTTAAGCACTTATAATTAATATGTTCCTGATAAAAGGCATATACTGTTTCAGAAAGGTAATACTTTCACATGATAAGACTCAAACAAATATAACTTATCATGTTAAGTTGAGGAAATTTGAACCCATCAGCTTCCACAACAGTTCAATATCCAAGTGAAAGTTTCCGGCATAAAAAGCAGAATTCTGGGTTTCTGCCTTGCTAGAAATCCTTTCTGGATTGCCAGGTATATCAACCAGTGGTTTCTCTGTACATCATGAAGTTTTTTGTTTCCCTTTGCTCCATGTATTCAGGATCTGTGTTAAATGGTTTACATACATTAGCTGTAATCTTCCTGTTTCTGGGTGAAAAGTTAAGCCTCCAAGTTCCATGCTCAAGGTCATGGAGAGAGGAAGAGATAGAACCAGGATTTAAATAATCTATTATTTGACTCTGGATTCCACACACTGTCCCCTACACCATGCTAATGTCTTGTACAGTATTGCCTGCCACCACCCATGCCTCCTTTCGAACTTGAGTCAATCTTGGCCAAGTGTCAAAGTTATGGTTCCATGTGAAAGAATTCTGCTAAAAACAAGAAGTTAATGGAGGATAAGATACTAGGATGTGATTGGCTTCACAAATCTCTTACTATTTTAAAATCCCTAAAATTAAGACAATGCATGGGTTAAAACAGGAAGTTGAAAACACAGGTGCGAATATAGAAATAGTCTAATTTGTTAATTGTTGTTGGGCTCACTCATCTAATTTGTGGTTTAATATTTCCATACCATTGTATTGGAACCTGCTCTTATGAATTACATCAATACCCAAACACATTTCTGTTTCGTTCATCTCAATTCTGATTGTTTAGGGCAACGGTCTACAAACTAATCTCCTGTGGTGCTTCAGACATTACATAAACAAATGACTATGGTTGTATTATTCCAATAAGATTTTATTTACACAAAAAAAGGCAGTTGGTCAGATTTGGCCCATGGGCCACAGGTTGATGACCTCTCTTTTAGGGGCATACATAATTCTAGGAACCCTGAAGAAAAGATGAGGGAAAATAAATAATCAGAGCATATGAAGAAGTACTCATTTGAGAAGGGATGTGTGTATATGTTATTTTCCCCACATAGACATTTTATGCATATTTTATACAGGATATATTACTTAATACTCATACATACCATAGAGTAGAGTATATTGGAAGTACATTGGAAGAACACTAAATTGGAAGCCAGGAAATCAGACTCCAGGTAAGGTTATGCCTCTAACTTGCAACATTACTTTGGGCTAATGAGCCAAATAAAGATAGTGGGAGTAGGATCTCCAAAGATCTTTCTATTCTATCATTGTTTGATGCTATGATTTCTTTTACTAAGATTTAAATGCCAAGTTAAAAAAATATATGGACTCAAATCATATAAAAATTACATAAAATTTTTGGCCTGAGACATACTGATTCAACCCATGTATCCAACTAAGCCACCAGAGCCAGAAAGTGAAAGGACACTATGCAAAGGACCCATTTAGAGGCATGGAGTGAGCAGAACATACAGGCGCCCACCTGGAAGGCTAGGAGTGAGGAGGTGGGCCCACAAACACGTGTGGAATGAGTGAATTCCTTGTGACTTCAAAGGACAAACATGTGGACATTTTATAAGAACCTGGACAGAGGAGCAAAAACCATTGTGACCAGGGAGCCCCACCTGCCTCTGAGCACAGCAGCCATTTCCAAAGCCATTTGGAGCCAAATATGGTCCTTCCCTTCTCAAAGAGCGGTTTCAGGATCATTGGTCGGTTTTGGGATGTTGAATATTGAGTAGGATCTAAGAAGCCCTGTGGTTTACACACCATGTTCTGCAGAAATCCCTGTAAAAAGGGCTGTTGTGTGCAGGTGGCGGTGAGGGTGGGAGAGTTAAGCAGAGCTCCCCACCCCGCAGCTGTTATGTGCTGGTGTGGAACACACGTGGGTGCACTGCTTCATTATGGATGGGAAAACTCAGCCTCAGAGGGGCGTGTATGTGGACGTGGCTTTTGCAGGGCATGAGAGGAGATTCTACTGGACACTGAGAAGCTCGTATTCACCTTCCGGGGCAGGTGGATGCCTAGGGGCGGGAGGCACATGGAGAAGTGAGTACTCAGTCTCGGTTCCTCTCAGCGACTCTCTGGGCCTCCGGACCTGGCGGGGAACGTTCTCATAGTACTCCTCGGCTGAGTTCCCTGATGGCCTCCTGCCAAGGACCCTGTGATCGATGAGGGTGTAGCACAGCTCCTCTGCAGAGTTCTGGTCAGCGTTGTCCTGCTGGTCAGAGAGCCATCATCAAGACCTGGCCTTTTGTCATTCTCTTTACGCTTCAGTCTCAACATATGCTCGACCCTGGGCAAAGCCTGACTTCCACAAACCACGTCCCCTCCATCTCTTGGCCTTTTTTCCTGAATGGCTGCCCCTCCCCTCACACCTAGCCCAGGCAGCCAGAATGCTCATAGTGCCTGGAGTATTCAGCCTTCCCTGGTCTATGTTCTCTGCCCCTGTTTCGGCAGGACTTCTGGCCATTCCATGTAATTCCCAGTCTCAGGACCCTGAGAACAGCCCCTTCTTACAAAAGAGAACACTCTCATGACACCTAAATATGACTGGGTTATGATATTTAACCACCCAGGCCAGATAATATAAAGGGAGATGATGGAAGAGAAGGTCTCATTCAATGAAGCCTCAGGAGATTAAAAGCAAAGTACATAGGAAAGAGCAGGGATTTGGGGGTGAGGCTTGGTTCTGCATCAGGCCCCTGCCATCTCGAAAGCTGTCTGGCTTTGGGGAATTTCACTTAATCTCTCAGTTTTCTCATCTGTAAAAAGGGGAGGGGGGCGTACCAATCTTACAGGGTTGTGGTGACAGTTATGTGAGATGATGCACGCAAAGTGCTCAGCACACTGCCTGGCATGAACTAAGTGCTCAGTAAATGTTAGTTTCTTTCAATAAATAGTACAACAGAGGTGCTGCTGCTTCTGCCATCAGGCCTGCATACATCTCTGGGCTTAGAAGCATGAACACCTAATGGCTTTCTTTCATGTCTAGGTCAGAAGGGGTCTTGCAGACCAACTTCTCCTGCCATTTGGAGTGTCTACATTTTTACCATCAACTCAGAAAAGGCTTAGAGATGCTCATATTACCTGCTGGGTAGCAGTGGATGTTCCTCCATCTGAGAAAGAAAATACACTCAATGAATTTCAGGTCATGGGGAGGTTTGAGGGGGGAGGGGGGACTGGGATACAAGCAACCAGAGAGCCAAGGAACAGCTGGGACAGCCCTTATCAGGGCTACAGCTCATCCCTGGGGAATGGCAAGGCCATCGAAACAAGACACGTCCAGAGCTGTGCTCAGGCTGAGATGAGTGGAGGGAGACTTATTCGGTGGGTTTTCAGTTAAGAAATCACACTTCCCTACCACCTGCTCTCTCATCTCTTCTTTTTTACACAAAATTCATTGCATGCCTGCTCTGCACCAGGCCTTGAGGAGACAAATAACCAGACACTGTCCCTGTACTTAAGGGGCTCACAGGCTAGAACAGGCAAGGGCCTATGAGAGATCCACAGCACAGGGGAGGGCTGTAGTTTTTACTGTAGGTGACGAGGGAGGGTGGTAGCGTGGAGGCCGGTGCTCAAGGAAAGCTTTGCAGAGGAGAAAACTCTTAAGCTGAACATTCCCACTCCGGAACCTGCTGCAGATAAAAACAGAAGCAGGCCAATTTTGCAAAAGCAGTTGGCCCTGGCCATTCAGCCAAGAGGCAAATGGACACACTTGCTACCCCTTGCAAACACACCAGCGCAATAAGCAAATCCGAGCTTTCACATAGAAGCCTCAGGATACCACCCTGCCCAGGAGGTGGGTGTGCCCATGTTAGCCACCTGATCGTACATGTTTGGTTTTATTCTTCCTCCCTACTGACACTCAGGAGGCTCATCGCTCCATGAAGTCCCATGGCCCTGCTGGGCTCCCCTGGTTATCCCACAGGAAAAGGGTGTGTGAGTTTCAGCAGAACTGGCCCTGTTTCTACCATGTTTTGCTCTGATGCAGATTAGGGTTTCCTACGAACCACAATTCCCCTGGGTAAAAGGGCCAGGGGTGGGAGGGCTGTATTATTCACTCACACACCTTACAGGGTTCGTTTCTAAGATTCAGAATGAATAAGCTAGGCTCTCCTCTTTAAGCCCAGAAGGCAAAGGCAAACATTGTGTTTCTTCTTTAGAAATGCAGTGGCCTGTCCTCAGGCCTATACTTTCTTATTTTCTTTCTTACTTGTGATAACCATTCACCACTCTCTCCTTCTCAAATCCTTTTGTCTCCTTAACTTCAGCCCTGTTCTGTCGCCAGAGACGATTGCATAAACTCCTAGGTGGTCTTCCAGCACCTGCTTTTACCATTCCTGACCACAATTTGTGCTCCGCACAGCAACCTGGGTGATGTCTTAAATGCCCCTTGTTCAAAGCCCTGCAGTTCTCAAGACAGAAGCCCCATTCCTAAATGTGAGCACCAGGCCCTGCCCCTCCTCTGTGTTCTCTGTGCCCAAGCTGGCCTCCTTGCTGCTCCTTCTGAGTGCCTCAGACCTCCACCTTTTGCATTTACTGTTCCCAGTTAACTCCTTCAAACCTAGGGACTAACTGAAGCATATGGAGATTAATAAGCAAGTCCCTGCTTCAATGAGCTCACAGTCTAGTGGAGAAACAGAGCCATACAGGTGGACAAATTGCAGCAAAAATGTGTAAGTTTTGTACAGAAATATGCCCACGGAGCTCTGGGAACACAGAGAAGGGGCAGTTTGAAAGTGTAAGTCTATCAAAAGTGAAAATGATGTGAAAGCAATAACTTACCTTCCTTTGGGAAATCTTGCCTGGCTTTAAAAATGTGCATCTTTTTCCTGCAAAAGAGAAGGAAAGTAAACTGCTTGTTTCAAAATTCAGAAACTCTCAAAGGAAATTATACCTTCTATAAAAGTTTATTTTTAACTTGTTCATTTGTTAAAGTTATAGGCCTTTTTTTATTACCTTCTTCAGCATAGAGAAATAAGAGGATAGAAAAAAAAGGAAAAAGGAAGGAGACCAAGTAGAATCTAATATTTTTGTATTTTTCTCTCCTCCTCCCTTTTCTAAGGCTGATATGAAATGGATTTAGAGGTGAAGAATTATGGTGATGTTATAGTAGTATTTTTGGAGATTTTTTGACAAAATATTAATTTCTTTCATATCATATGAGTTAAGCCATTGATATTTCAAATCCCAGCCTTAATCCCAATCCATGATCTCTAAACAAACAACTGAACAAAACAGATATGTCTAATCTGAGCACAGAGGTAACCACACTGTATAGATGACCCCCTAGAAAACACACAATATAAATATAATAGAAGCCCTATCATCTCAGGAATCAAGGACGGCATCTGCTCTAAGGAGAATGGCCATATGTCCTGGTTTGCTATGTCAGTCTAGTTAAATGTTGTTACCAACTGTTTTTAGCATCCCTGTCACTCTCAAAAGTTTCCCAGTTTGGATAATGAATTATATGATCACTCTGGTTATAAATTTTCTGTGCAAGGGACAGAAATGTGTGCTGTACACAGAGACTCTGGGGTTTGCAGTGTGGGAAAGGGGTCTTTCTCTGCACTGGCAACCAGTTTCATCCTTGCTTCCGAGGCTTTCCCATTTGAGGAGCACGTACCACCCATGAGACTCTTGTTCCTGTTTTTTAAGCAAACTTGAAACATCACTTTCCTGACTAAGTCAGATGATCGTCAGGGCTAGTGACAGGCTTCCGCTGTGGCCACAGACAGCAGGGAGTTCACAGGTAACTTACAGCAAATACCACACTCAAACCACACGTAGGGAAATAACTCCTGAAAACAATTCTCTACTCACCATGGGAGGCAGAAACACCCTTCAGTCATGTGGCGGTCCCAGCACCTAAAATACCGGAGAGATTAACCAGACACTGTCCCTGTACTTAAGGGGCTCACAGGCTAGAACAGGCAAGGGCCTATGAGAGATCCACAGCACAGGGGAGGGCTGTAGTTTTTACTGTAGGTGACGAGGGAGGGTGGTAGCGTGGAGGCCGGTGCTCAAGGAAAGCTTTGCAGAGGAGAAAACTCTTAAGCTGAACATTCCCACTCCGGAACCTGCTGCAGATAAAAACAGAAGCAGGCCAATTTTGCAAAAGCAGTTGGCCCTGGCCATTCAGCCAAGAGGCAAATGGACACACTTGCTACCCCTTGCAAACACACCAGCGCAATAAGCAAATCCGAGCTTTCACATAGAAGCCTCAGGATACCACCCTGCCAGGGAGGTGGGTGTGCCCATGTTAGCCACCTGATCGTACGTGTTTGGATTTATTCTTCCTCCCTACTGACACTCAGGAGGCTCATCGCTCCATGAAGTCCCATGGCCCTGCTGGGCTCCCCTGGTTATCCCACAGGAAAAGGGTGTGTGAGTTTCAGCAGAACTGGCCCTGTTTCTACCATGTTTTGCTCTGATGCAGATTAGGGTTTCCTACGAACCACAATTCCCCTGGGTAAAAGGGCCAGGGGTGGGAGGGCTGTATTATTCACTCACACACCTTACAGGGTTCGTTTCTAAGATTCAGAATGAATAAGCTAGGCTCTCCTCTTTAAGCCCAGAAGGCAAAGGCAAACATTGTGTTTCTTCTTTAGAAATGCAGTGGCCTGTCCTCAGGCCTATACTTTCTTATTTTCTTTCTTACTTGTGATAACCATTCACCACTCTCTCCTTCTCAAATCCTTTTGTCTCCTTAACTTCAGCCCTGTTCTGTCGCCAGAGACGATTGCATAAACTCCTAGGTGGTCTTCCAGCACCTGCTTTTACCATTCCTGACCACAATTTGTGCTCCGCACAGCAACCTGGGTGATGTCTTAAATGCCCCTTGTTCAAAGCCCTGCAGTTCTCAAGACAGAAGCCCCATTCCTAAATGTGAGCACCAGGCCCTGCCCCTCCTCTGTGTTCTCTGTGCCCAAGCTGGCCTCCTTGCTGCTCCTTCTGAGTGCCTCAGACCTCCACCTTTTGCATTTACTGTTCCCAGTTAACTCCTTCAAACCTAGGGACTAACTGAAGCATATGGAGATTAATAAGCAAGTCCCTGCTTCAATGAGCTCACAGTCTAGTGGAGAAACAGAGCCATACAGGTGGACAAATTGCAGCAAAAATGTGTAAGTTTTGTACAGAAATATGCCCACGGAGCTCTGGGAACACAGAGAAGGGGCAGTTTGAAAGTGTAAGTCTATCAAAAGTGAAAATGATGTGAAAGCAATAACTTACCTTCCTTTGGGAAATCTTGCCTGGCTTTAAAAATGTGCATCTTTTTCCTGCAAAAGAGAAGGAAAGTAAACTGCTTGTTTCAAAATTCAGAAACTCTCAAAGGAAATTATACCTTCTATAAAAGTTTATTTTTAACTTGTTCATTTGTTAAAGTTATAGGCCTTTTTTTATTACCTTCTTCAGCATAGAGAAATAAGAGGATAGAAAAAAAAGGAAAAAGGAAGGAGACCAAGTAGAATCTAATATTTTTGTATTTTTCTCTCCTCCTCCCTTTTCTAAGGCTGATATGAAATGGATTTAGAGGTGAAGAATTATGGTGATGTTATAGTAGTATTTTTGGAGATTTTTTGACAACATATTAATTTCTTTCATATCATATGAGTTAAGAAGCCATTGATATTTCAAATCCCAGCCTTAATCCCAATCCATGATCTCTAAACAAACAACTGAACAAAACAGATATGTCTAATCTGAGCACAGAGGTAACCACACTGTATAGATGACCCCCTAGAAAACACACAATATAAATATAATAGAAGCCCTATCATCTCAGGAATCAAGGACGGCATCTGCTCTAAGGAGAATGGCCATATGTCCTGGTTTGCTATGTCAGTCTAGTTAAATGTTGTTACCAACTGTTTTTAGCATCCCTGTCACTCTCAAAAGTTTCCCAGTTTGGATAATGAATTATATGATCACTCTGGTTATAAATTTTCTGTGCAAGGGACAGAAATGTGTGCTGTACACAGAGACTCTGGGGTTTGCAGTGTGGGAAAGGGGTCTTTCTCTGCACTGGCAACCAGTTTCATCCTTGCTTCCGAGGCTTTCCCATTTGAGGAGCACGTACCACCCATGAGACTCTTGTTCCTGTTTTTTAAGCAAACTTGAAACATCACTTTCCTGACTAAGTCAGATGATCGTCAGGGCTAGTGACAGGCTTCCGCTGTGGCCACAGACAGCAGGGAGTTCACAGGTAACTTACAGCAAATACCACACTCAAACCACACATAGGGAAATAACTCCTGAAAACAATTCTCTACTCACCATGGGAGGCAGAAACACCCTTCAGTCATGTGGCGGTCCCAGCACCTAAAATACCGGAGAGATGACACAGATCACAAGGTTGGTTTCTACAGCTTTGTCAAGGTCACTCTCTTCCCTGTGACATTTCTCCAAGAGAGCATTCATTCTTGGTGACTTGGACACATCTATCATGCTAGGATGCCTTGGTCCTTTCAGGACATCAACTGCCCTTTGGAAATATGAAGATGACACTAACCACTCCTAATTAGGGAAGAAGCCTTCTTCTGTGTCCTCAGAAAAGGAAAAGGGCTTTCATTCTCACTTCCAGCGAGTTACTTGGTCCCTGGTGATGATGGACACACAGAGTTATCTCCAGAAAATCAAGGCATAAGTGTGCGTAGATTTTAGAAATTGCTTCCAGGTACGGGTTAGTTAATACTTACACAGGATTCCACTGCACTCTGAATTTCCTCGGGACACACTATATTATAATTGCCTGCTCGCTTGTCTTTATCCCACACTAGACTGTGAGCTTCATAAATGTGGGGACCATGCTTAACATCATGGTATATATCACCAACATATGCCACAGTACCTGGCACACAGAAAATATCTTTTCAATAAATATTTGATAAATGAATAAGGAGCTAAGAACAGAGCAACGCTAACTGGCTCAGGAGATCATCAAATCTGCCTTGTTATATTCTTTACGGTAGAAAGGCCAGATCTCCCTGCAGGCAGACATCTAGGCTGAAGTCTAAAGTGTCCTCTGGGCATCTTTCTGAAGATGAGGTACAGTCAAAGCCCACATTAACATTGTGTGTTCCAGGAACACTGTGTAAGACTTTTGGAAAACACCACCCAACAATATCTTCCCCAGTGAGCTTTCCCAGGAAGTTCCCCAGAAAGGGAAGTGGAGGTGAGGCTGCTGCATGTGACCTTGGCTGTGGGCACTAGGGTGGCTGAGTGTTCTAGGGTCAATGTACCATCAGAGCCTTTGGGGCTGAGAGTCATGGCTATAGTGTTTCCTTCTCTTCAGGCTATATTCAGAGTACTGTAAGACATTTGTGAATATCTCCTGTTTCTGTGGCTAAAGACACACCAGAAGAAAACCATCAAATCATACCAAAGCTAAGAAATCAGATTCACAGGAGTGGGATGAAAGGAGACTATTGATTTTGAGTTACTGGCTCAATATCTCTGGCCTTCTTGAACCACAGTTTCTTAATCTATAACAGTGATGGCGAACCTTTTGAGCTCGGTGTGTCAGCATTTTGAAAAACCCTAACTTAACTCTGGTGCCGTGTCACATATAGAAATTTTTTGATATTTGCAACCATAGTAAAACAAAGACTTATATTTTTGATATTTATTTTATATATTTAAATGCCATTTAACAAAGAAAAATCAACCAAAAAAATGAGTTCGCGTGTCACCTTGACAGGCGTGTCATAGGTTCGCCATCACTGATATATAACATGAGGATACTTACACTGCTTACCTCATGGAGGTCAAGTAAAGTTAAATATAAGCTAAAGCTATTTTAAAACCAGCTATTTCCCCCACTCAATGTTTTGGCAATATGTTCCTGCATTTTAATTAAGATGTTTTGGTTTGGGTGGGTTCAGATAACCCCTGTGAAGGAGGCCAGACAAATGTCTATGACACAAGGCTATGGGCCAGCAGTTCCAGGTTCCCATCTCTTGCACAAAGCTTGCCTGGCTCCCCAGTCTACCCGATATCTCCCTTGTTATAATGTCCATGGCCCTCTGTCCTGTTCCATCATTTGGAGTGCATGAATTAACATATGTCCTTAGCTTACAGTGAAGAAATGCATACTATTGGGGGGAATCTCTGGGACCCTAACTCCTAACCCAAGATTTGGCTTAGTGGTTGCTTTTTAATTGATATTCTTTTAAAACCTTGTCTTGAAATCATGGGGAATGTGCAGATGACTCTACAGGCCACAGAACAACTGACTTTGGCACCCTTTGGGATTCTTGGGCTCAGGGACACTATTTCCATACATTAGTGATTCCTGGCATTCAGAGGACCTAGTTAGAGAGGACTGATGAGGATGTCTTGGTTTAACAGCATCCAGGTAATCACACACATTTTGCTCCACAAACCTTCCAACAATTGTAGTAATGAGGGGGGATATGGCCATTTCAGGAATAGAACCTTAGAGCTTAAAAATGAAATGTCTGGGATGGAACTTGAACACAAAGGTACTTGAGATAGACAAGCAAAGAGACAATAGAAAATAGGGGTCTTCTAGTTGTTACCAGTTACACTAAGCTTCTAGCAAAATGGCACATCTCTTGTCCAAAGGTTCACAATGATGTCTTTTGTCTTATCTCTTCGTTTACTATCACTACAACTGCGGTTGGGTGTAAGCAGGTCCTCTATGGTGGGGTAAGTGATGTCCAGGATCTGACCAACTTCCCTTGTCATGGGCAAAGGCTGGGAGAGGTTCTGCTGGGTTTGCTCTGACCTGGATGTTCTCTGCTTGAGGTTTTGATTTTTCAGATCCCAGGGTATCTCTTGAGTGTTCTGTTGCCACCTAAAACTCAACATACCAGGACTGAGTTAAGTATTTCCAAGCTTCCCACCTCTCTTCATAATTTTTCCAACTTTCCTTATTTCTGCTATTTGTGTTGTAACCCCAGATCACCTCAGCTTCCCCTTTTTGCCTTCACTTATGCCTTCCTAAAGCATACACCACAATCTTTGATCTGATGTTCTCTCCATTGCCATAACAAGAGCCTGTCAATGTTTTCTATGCACAACCAAGCCTAAATAATTTGTTCCCAAATGTATGAAATTCTGATGATGACCCTGAGACTATCAGTATTTAGAAAAGCTTATCTGCTTGATACAGTTTTAAGGATTATACACAGGAATGGGGGAGGACACTGGTTTTGTTTCATGTAAATTGCCTTCTTTCACAGAAAGCACCAAGACAGAGAGAATAGGATAAAAGGGGGAAATAAGGTAAATTAAGAAAACAAAAACAAAACAATAAAAACCCCACACACTAGCCAATTTTGCTCAGTGGATAGAGTGCTGGCCTGCAGACTGAAGGGTCATGGGTTTGATTCTGGTTAAGGGCATGCATTTCGGTTGCAGGCTCAATCCCTGGCCCAAGTTGGGGTCCCTGTCCCTTCCACTCTCTTTAGAAATCAATGGAGAAATAGCCTCGGATGAGGGTTAACAAAAACAACAATAAAAAAAAAACCACCAATAAATTGTTTTATTGTTTGGATTGGGTTTTTGTACAATCATCTTTTCATTTGCTGGAGTTATAGATAAAAAGAAACTAATAATTAGACACTACTTACTATATGTTAGCTACTTACTACATGCTTTATACATATATACATATACACATTATAAATACTAGTTATTATACTATACATACTTACTAGATATACTATACAAACTATGTATACTACTAATAAAGGTATATAATGTGTATAACATATACACTTTCTATTTAATCCCAGAATAAATCCATGATATATAAATATATTATGATTATTTTTTTACTAATGAGGAAACTGAGGCCAAAAGTTTGGCAACTTGTCTGAAGACCCCCCAACCAGTAAGTGGAAAGGATGAATTTGCTTTTGGCTAATTCCTGTTTTGATTTTAATGAAGATGATGCTCAAGAAAACTACCTTCTAATTATTGAACCCTCCTATGTATCAGGAACTATGCCAGCATCACACACATTAGAACCCTCCAAGGTAGATATTGTATTACTATTGCCATTTGAAATGAGGAAACTGAGGTCCAGAAAAGTTAAGGTAAGTTCTCTACCAATGTCAATGACCCCTGTTTACCTGTAGCAGGAAGTGTGGCAGACATGACCTCATAATGGCAGGAAGCTTGCTATTTATTTTGAATTTAAATAGTGATTAAAATGGTGGCAGTGTTGCCTGACCAGGGTGGCTCAGTAGTTGATTGTGGACCTATGAACCAGAAGGTCATGGGTCAAACTCCAGTCAGGGCACATGCCCAGGTTGTGGGCTCAACCTTCAGTGTGAGGTGTGCAGGAGGCAGCTGATGGATGATTCTCTCTCATCATTGATGTTTCTATCTCTCTCACCCTCTCTCTTCCTCTCTGAAGTCAATAAAAATATATTAAAAAAAGAAAAAGGTGGTAGTGTCTTAAGCTTCTTGTGGTGCATTAAGAGCTCAGGAGAGCATCCCTTCCCGGGCCTTGGAAAGTTGTTCTACTGCAGAGACCTCCCTTGATAAAGTCCTCTCCTTTCAGCTGTTTTCGCCAGTTGCTCACCATGATTTTCAGGAGAAGGCCAAATCTATAAGGAATTGAAATTGATGTCTGGTGGTACATAGCAGGCACTTCACGCTTCTCAGTTCTTACTCAATTCCCTTCCTCCCTCTTCTAAGAACAGACCTCTTTTTCTATTTCTGACTACATTGCCCTGACCCATCTCCTCTGGTCTTTCGTAGGGAGTCTGCACTTACCTGTTTTCCCTCAGCAGAGAGTTGCCCATCCTCTCAGTCCTCCGGTGCCTTCCCGTCAGCCTGCCTTGCTCTCTGACAGGGCAGCTCCTGACAGAGATAAGCTGCGTTGTTCTGGCCACCAGTGCAGAGTGAGCTAAAAGGAGAAGACTATCTCTCTGCAGAGGGGAGGAGCCAGAAGAGAAAGTCAGAGGTGCACACGTGCACAACTTCCTAAAATGTCAGAGCCTGAAAGAACCAGCCTATTGTTCTTAACAGAAGTGTTGGTCAATGAGAGCTCGGAGCCCCTGGGGAAGCCTCATTTGCAATTACAGACCAGCCATGCAGTTTTCCCATCAGACACCTAAATTTATTAAACCGTTTTGTAGCCTTTGAAAAATGAGAAGGGAGGATTTGGTTTTAAGACAAGAGAAGTTTAAAGCAAATTAAAGTGAAGCTACAGACCAGTAGAAAATAATAGCAAGACATACATCAGATAAAAAAAATTTTTATTCAGAATATATAAAGAACTTTCAAAACAAAGAAGAAAACAGACACTCAATAAGAAAATGGGAAAAAATATTTGAACAGACTCTTCATCAAAGGAAATACACTGATGGCAAATAAATACATGAAAAGACGCTTAACACTATGGTCATTAGGAGAGGTAAATCAAAACCACAGTGCAGTACATTACATGCCATTAGAATGGCTAACAGTGAAAACAAAAACAAAAGTTGATAATACCAAGTGTTAGCAAAGAATGTAGGGCATCTGGAAGTCTCATGCATTGCCCATGGCAAAACAATGTGGCAGTTTCTTGAGAAGTTAAGCATAGCCTTGCCATACAATTTAGCAATCCCACTCCTAGATGTCTATCCAAGTGAAATCTACACTAATAAAAGACAAATATGCTAATTGACTGTACCTTTGCTATACCCTAAGCCATGCCCACCAGCCAATCAGAGTGACTATATGCAAATTAACCCAACCAAGATGGTGGCCGGCAGCCATGGAGCTGGAGCAAGCAGGAGGCTTGGTTGCCCCGGCGATGGAGGAAGCCAAGCTTCCCGCCTGCCCTGAGCTGGCTGTGGCCTCCGCTCATGGCAAAAAAGTTTCAATTTTAAAGACAAATAAATCCCAGATACCTGCTTCCAGCCAGGCTCCACTGGGAGCTTGGGTGGCTAGGGGTTGTGGCCAGCCTGCAAACAGCCATCAGTCCCTCACCTAGGCTGGCCACACCCTCATGGGGTGAGGGTCCCTGCTGGGGGGCTTAGCCAGCCTGAAAACAGCCCTCAGCCCCTCACCCAGACAGCCCAGGCACCCCAGCAGGACCCACAACCCTGAAGGGGCTGTGACCAGCCTGCAAACAGCCACCAGCCCCTCACGCATGCTGTCCAGACACCCCAGCGGGGATCCCCACCCTGAAGAGGCTGTGGCCAGCCTGCAAACAGCCATCAGCCACTCATCCAGGCTGGCCACACCCTCATGGGGTGAGGGTCCCTGCTGGGGGGCTTAGCCAGCCTGAAAACAACCCTCAGCCCCTCACCCAGACAGCCCAGGCACCCCAGCAGGACCCACAACCCTGAAGGGGCTGTGACCAGCCTGCAAACAGCCACCAGCCCCTCACGCATGCTGTCCAGACACCCCAGCGGGGATCCCCACCCTGAAGAGGCTGTGGCCAGCCTGCAAACAGCCAT